ATTTGTCCAGTAGAATTAGCAGCCCATATTTCCTAAAATATGTTGCTGACTTATGTATACAAATAGAGGTTAACAACCTCATAAGAAATAATAAGTATTCTATCCTACATTTGAAAGGAAGGAATGGATGGATCACAGGCAACTGGAAAGATCACGAAGCACTTCAAAAAGCTTTTCCAGATTTCAACCTTGAGAACAAGGTTGATTTCAAAGAGGAAGGAATTGTTATGAAGAGAACGTTAATAGGGGTAGAAGAGGGAATTCATAGTGGCACGGAAAGAAAGTGGATGGCCTTGGACAGAGGGCAACAAATTTAGAGCAGAGAGGAAAGAGAATTAGTGCACGTCCCAAGAAAACCAACGTGTGCCTCAAAGAATACATTTGCAGTATATAACTATTGGATGATAGTGAGTAAAGGGTTGTTGGTGGAAGAATCTTCTTCCCTTGGAATTCCTTCTTTTTCTTCTGAGAGGTTCTCTTGTTTATCTTTTGTCTCTGTATTATTGTTGCGTGGCAGCTCCTCTTATTGTAAGAGTGTCTTTTCTTGTCAATAATACAAATACAGAGCTTATTCACTGTTGATTGAATTTGTTTTAGTTCTTTACATTACAGAAACCTAATATCTATTCCTCCCATGTTTTCCATTCAGCAATATGCATGGCTTGTTGGAACACAGTACAAACCAATGGAACTGGCAAAATCTGACTGGGCTGGAATTAAGAAGTCTCCTCCATGGGCCATTGATTCTTGGGGCATGGGTATGTTATTCTCAGTTATAATGCATTATGATGGCAATTTAAAATATTAAGTGGAATGGAGCCAATTAACATTCTGGCATTGTTATATTTTTCTTGCTTGCTGCATGTCCTCTTACTAGCCTAATCAATATGGTTGTACCATGGGGCGCACAACTTATATTTTGGAACTCGTTTTATCTATAACTGGCCATAAAAAGAAACAAATGAATTTTACTTGTGAAATATTTTAACTTTCTTACTAAAGATATATAAACCGATATTGAACCTCACCAAACATCTTAAGCTTTTGCAAGAGTTGGTCCTTGACATGGTATCAAAGTTTCTATGATTAAATGTTAATGAATTTGATCCTCCACACCTGCTTCTTGTTATTCTAAAAGCTAAATTTCAGCAAGAGAAAGATACAGCCCGTAAACTATTTATGCTTCTGAACCAATGGGCTCATTTGCAAGAAGGTGAACTAGTGATATAAAACCAATCTTGAACCATCACCTAACTGCTTAAGTTTTTGGACAGTTGGTCCTTTATACATTCTTACATAAAGAAGTGGTGCTATAAGTTAAACTTCATGCCCATTTACTGTTGGGGCTTGGTTCTGTTTGTAATTTACTGTTTTGCTAACAATGGATCATAATATAAATTTTTGTTCAGAAGGAAGAACTAGAAATAATACATCTTATGCTTTGCATAATGTTACCCATAGTTACCAATCCACTTCTTTCCAGTCCTAGTATGTAGGAAATCGTATTTATTTTGGAATTTATTGTTTATGTATTTTGTTTAACCTTTTCTCTCATAAATATTCCTTAAGAGTATAGTTATATATCAGAAAAAAAATGTTACCCTTTTGTCCATGCATTAGTAATATTGGTTCAAATTATGTAAACTGCACAGATATTGTTGGTTTACGGAATAGACCTCTCAAAACCAACAAATTCTTATTTTATAGGTTGTCTTATCTATGAGCTATTCTCTGGTTTAAAGTTGGGCAAAACGGAGGAGTTACGCAACACTGTCTTCATTCCTAAGGTTAGCCTGCTTAGGAATTTACTGTTGGTTTGTGTTTACTGTTGGTTAGCCTGCTTAGGAATTTACTGTTGGTTTGTGTTTGTACGTGTTACTAGATATAATGTTTAAGTGAGGCTTTACTCGGTTGGTTACTTTTTTATATCTCATTCTAATGAAATATTCATTCTTCATCTCTGATTGTCTTTTTGTTTTTGGCTTACAGTCTCTGCTTCCAGATTACCAGCGGTTGCTGAGTTCTGCGCCCTCTCGTAGATTAAATACATCAAAGCTTATAGAAAACAGCGGTGAGTGCTTGTTAATATATTTATAATTAGTTTTACAGAAACTTGATTAGCTTAGCATTGTTACAGTTTTACTTCTTTGTTTGAACTTTGTAGAATTGTTTTGCAGTTTGTCTTATATGCTATAGGATACAGTCTAGTCCTCTGTCAGGCAACTTAAAACTGTGCTAGTTATATCTAGGTATTTTACATTTGGGCTGGCTTTAGTGCGCTAGGATAGTCATAGACTGTAGTTTAAAACTGCATGGGAAACATTGGTAATGATTGGAATTCTGACAACACAGACAGTCTTCGCTATAGCTAAAGGGTTTTTGACACGGTTGCTTAGCATTTTTGGAAAGAGGTTCCATGTTTGATTTAATACATTCAACTGTAGTTTTTAGCTTACCAGAATGCAGTTAAAACTGATGTTGTATAACTCTAACTTCCTGAATTGATTGTATACAAGAGAATAGAGAAATTTGATTGTTTTTTCTTGAATAGAGGATTAATCAAGGAGAGGGGGCGTAGAGTATATTACATGGATGCAGAGGTTATGGTTTATATGATAGAGTGTTGTTGGGAGCACATTCTAATGTAAATTGATCTTAGCTTTTTCAGATTTAGGACTTAGGAGGGAATTCTTCTGCTTCATGATCAGGTGAAAACCAGCTAAAATAAAAACAGTTCAACAATCTATACCACATTCTAAATGCTTGTTTTGAACTTCTAGTAGTTATTGTTTTCTGCCCTGATATAAGTCTCTGCAACTTTAAGTTTGTTGGTAATGGATGTGCAGAGTATTTTCAAAATAAGTTAGTAGACACGATTCATTTCATGGAAATTCTTAGTTTGAAAGATAGTGTTGAGAAAGACACTTTCTTCCGCAAGCTTCCAAATTTGTCAGAGCAACTTCCTCAGCAGATTGTGTTGAAAAAGGTCTCTTTACAAGTTCAAATTTTAAACTTTTAATAGGTTCAAAATTTTACCCCAATTGATTAATGGGATAATTTTGGTCTTCGCAGTTGCTTCCTTTATTAGCTTCTGCTCTTGAATATGGTTCAGCCTCTGCCCCTGCTTTGACTGCATTGTTGAAAATGGGTTCTGCACTGTCATCTGAGGAGTTCCGTGTGAAGGTGTATAACAACTTCAATACCCTTATGATACCCCTTTTCTTCGTTCTTTCTTAGTGTTTGATTCTCTCACTAACTAGTACTCATCTCATTCCTTAATTGGATTTCACTATATAATACATAGGTGCTTCCAACCCTTGTTAAGCTTTTTTCATCAAATGATCGAGCTATTCGAGTTGGACTTCTACAACATATAGATCAGTATGGGGAGTCATTATCAGCACAAGTAGTTGATGAGCAGGTATGTTATCAGAATACGATTGTTTAATTTTTTTTTCCGTGGTATAATACATGAAGATTCATGTTATCAATGTGGATGTTTTGATTCTATTGTTGACATTTTATGGTTAGGTTTACCCTCATGTTGCTACTGGGTTCTCTGATACATCCGCTTTTCTGAGGGAACTTACTCTCAAGTCCATGCTAATTCTGGCTCCAAAGGTATGTCTTTTAATATTCATATCAGCTAAATTTCTGTCTTTTCGTTTTACTTTAAAAACGAGAGGTGTTATTGGTGTAATTAGAATTTTAGGCACTCAAAATTTGTTATTACAGTTATATTGCTAGTACCAAATTTTTGGTCTTTGTATGGTATGTTTGGTCTGATTACAGTTTAACACATTTAGCACATGGCTTAAATTAGTTTCAGCGCATGTATATATCATTAGGATTCGATTAAAGTTTATATTGTGATATTACTATTATATCTTGCCTTGTTCAAAAGAGGCGTGGGTTGTGTCAGAGTTTGGGAATTAGCATCACGGAGAAGCTGCTATTGCTATTAGAACTACCAATAAATCTTAATTACACTAATTAGTATTTGAATAAGTACATGTTAGGATACAGGATGATAGGACTTAATGGGTAAGGGGTTAAGGATAGAAAGCAGAGGAATAAAGAGAGCGATAAAGTTTGTTAGAGGGGGAGAGAAAGTGTATAAATAAGCCTTTTTATATTTCTGTGGGAGGTAGCCATTTCTTATGTTGTGTAAACCGGTCTTGAACCTTGTTGAGGGGGATTAGGCTCCCGTTATTATCTTGATATTTTGTTGCAGTAAATACATACAAATCATTTGTTATTTCTTATTTCTGTGTTGTTGTGTGTTTGGGTATTGTGAGAAAGTTAAGTTTCTAACTTGGAAACCTAACAGTACATGTTTTGGAATGACTAATTTTTGGGAAATTATTTGATTGCTTATTTCTTAAGATACATTAAATGTTTTCAAAGAAGTTGAATGATGTTGGGTTTGCATAATTAATTTTGAATGCACATCAATGAAATAAATGGGTTTCTTGTGACTCGCATTTATAATACTGAATTGTCTTTGAATTCTGATTGGAACTTAAAATTGGTTTTTGATATTATATAAAAGAAAAAACTAATTGAGACAGAAAATATTACGCAGAACATAGGATAAAGAACTCTCCTAAACAAAGAACAGAAATAAAAAGTACCAAGAAAAAGAAATTCAATGCAACTAAGTGTACCCAATCCCTCAATATATATGTTAGTGAACCTGTAAAAAGGAAGGAAAGGTTAAGATAGTTAGTATATTAATAAGTTAGTTGAGCATTAGAGATCCTTTGTAAAGGAGAACCCTTGGAGAAGAGAGTGTTGTTCTATATTTTGTTCTATTCAATAAAATCTCTTTTCTTTCTCTTTTCAATTTTTGGTTCCTGACAGAACCTCAATAGAATGCAATGTTTCTGAAAGCTTTGTTCCTTTATCATTACTCGTCCTTTTCTTCTTTTCCATCCCAAATCTTCTTTTCTATTTGATGAATCTTTAGTAGCTAATTTTATTTGTTAAAATGTTATTTGTCTCATAATTGCAGCTGTCACAAAGGACCTTTTCCGGGTCATTATTAAAGCATTTGTCAAGGTTACAGGTACTGCTTCAACCATTAATATGTGGGGAAGGAAAGCTGACTGGGAAAGTGAACAATTTTCCTAGTTTTCCTTTTCTAAAATTTATAAAATCTACGATTTGTTCTGTAGGTCGATGAAGAACCGGCTATACGAACAAATACTACCATCTTGTTGGGAAACATTGCAAACTACTTAAACGAAGGGGTATGATCACATGATGTTTTCTAGTTCAGAAAGTTGCCAAACTTTTATTTATTGTTAGAAAATATTCATCGGTTAATAACTCCTCCGAGTTTTTCTCAGACAAGAAAAAGAGTGTTGATTAATGCATTTACAGTCCGTGCTTTACGTGATACCTTTCCACCTGCTAGAGGAGCAGGTATTAGAGTTACCCCGATCGACCTATTACATTTTTTCTTCAGTTTTGTAACAAAATGTATTTTTTCACCATTTTGAATTTTAATTTACAGGCATTATGGCTTTATGTGCTACCAGTTCCTACTATGACATCACGGAAATTGCAACTCGGATTCTTCCTAATGTTGTTGTGCTCACAATTGATCCTGACAAGTTATATCCTGATGATGCTTTATTTTCTTATATTCACTTGCAATCAGTTTGCTAGTAAATTGATTTCTCAATAACTAATATTTTTTAGTGGGTTAAATCCTTTTTTAAAGAAAAAATTATTGTGTTCCACAGTTGCTTCTTAATTCCTTTTTTTGATGTTTTAAATTTTTTTACGTTAGGCTCTTAAATAATGGATGTTATTTATTTTTTTCCTGTGTGCTAATTTGTATGTTTTGCCAATCCTCATATTCTACATAGAGATCTTTCTTGTCCTTGGAATATTTCACCTTTTTCAAGGCAGTGATTATATGTTTTTCTTGTCATGATTCAAACAGTGATGTGCGATCTAAGGCATTTCAGGCAGTTGATCAATTTTTGCAGATGGCGAAGCAATATTATGAAAAGGTATACAATAAAATTCTTTGACTGTTACCCAGATGCATAATATGGTTCTAAATTTTGGCGTTTAACTTTGAGAAGAAAATAAATTTAAGTTCAGAGTTAATTTTTTAAACCCTAATTCTAATTTAATGTAAATCCATTCCAATATTTTAAATCAGAATACGCTAAATTGGTGGAAAGGAATGAAGTAATACCAGCTTCCATTAATTGGATTGTATAAAATAAGATGGCATGGGTGTTCCATTTCATTTTATCAGATACCCTTATTTTTGCCCCCTTCCAACTCAGGTATGGGATGGAACCAATCCCTTTTTTCATCCCATTATAAAAGTTATCCAAACAATGGAATGGTAATTCTCTTCCATTCCAACTTATTTTATTCTATTCTTCTCACCATTATATATCCAAAAACATATTCTCCCTTAAGGAATAATAGTTATTCTTAACTTCTTATAAATTCAAAATTGAAGTTGTTTTGAATTAATAACTTAAGAATTTAAACGGGAAAGCCTTAGTGCAAAGGTAATATTGTTTCCTTGTGATCTTAAAAGATCACGAGTTTAAATCTTGAAAATGGCCTCTCTCTGCTTAGCTTTGTACATCCACCCTTACTGTATCCAACTAGGTGGGAGCCTTGTGCACTAAATCACTTATTCTTTACTATTTTAATAAATAATTTTTAGATTCTACCTGAATTGTTTATACATATCTCCCTCATAATTATTTTTTTTTTCTTTTAATTTACATTTTTTGGATTTTACCTAAATCTATAAATAGTTGTGCAATGTACAAGATGATACTTTCTAGTTCCTGCTTTACCTAATAATGTTCTTTGTCAAACATTTCTTAGAAGGAAATTTCACTGTTTAAAGAAAGTGTAACTATTCTGTATACTGTACTGGTTATCCCCTTAGGCCTGCTTCTCATCATTTAAACTAATAATATCTAGGATGATTTGCATGGGCCTACAGCTGAACGTTCACACTTATGTATGGACAGTCAGGGTATTCTTTTGCTTATGCACTGCCATCGTCCTGATCGTAGTAATAAGAATATTTGCAACAAAATCAATGCAAGTTAAGGAAATTTTGGGGTGTTTGACAATTATGATCTGTACCAAATAATTTCGAGAATAACCTAATATAAAAAATTACCGCTTAAGTATTTTAGTGTTGCACCAAATTAAAAAGGCTCATGGCAGGTCAGCATTTGGAGTTTTGTAGATGATCCGTTAGTTTCAATAACTGTCTTAGTAGTGGCAGTTTGTTGCCACCTTCAATGGTGAATTTTGATACTGATGTTCATGCTCTTATCTTAGACGAATACAGCTGAGGCTACTGAGGGAACTAGCACGGGGATCTCTTCAATTCCTGAAAATGCTGGTTTACTTGGGTAAGTCAGTTCAAACTTTGTGGCCTGGCTGTTCACATATTAAACAACAGAGAATAAGTAGTGCCAGATTGAGTTTTACGATATTGAGTAATTTAGTTTACACTATTTAATGTGAAGTTTCCCTTCTTTTTGTTTTAAATTAGTCAATTAAAAATGCATGGACTCTTTCTTGTCTACTTATGTAGAATACTAGTAGTAACAATAATAGTTAGAACACACACGCCATTGAGTGAAACACACACGCCTCTCTCTCTCTCTCTCTCTCTCATTGAGTGAAATTCATGTGGGTTTTGCTAAATACGTAGGTTTTTTTTCCTTATTTGGTGTGTTCCATTCCAAAAATAGTGGGACCTACAGGAATTTCAACTAATGGATAGTGTGTGTTGCTATCACGCCTCTTAATATGATGGTATATGTATACCACATAAAAAATTGTCTTTGTTGTTTGGGTTGGGACTTTGGGAGGGTTTGTGTCTAGATTTTTCTAGTTTCAGTATATAAACTCGTTAAATGATGCTATCTTTTGTCATGCCACTGTAGGAAAGTTTCTTAATCAGTTGAAAAAATAAAAATCTGGCGGTAGTTGTCTTGTCTAAACAGTCCTGAGGAGCTCAGCATCCCATTAGGGGTACCTGCTTTTCTAGCTGAGATTCAGTCTTCTTTAATTGCACCTAAGCTGCTGAGCTGTTTCTTTGCATTATGGTTTCTGACTTATTCTCATCATTGTGTAGGTGGGCTATGAGTTCCTTGACTCTGAAGGGTAAACCTTCTGATCATGCTCCAGTGTCTTCTGTGAGTTCTACGGCACTTACTCCAGCATCTGCTAATGCCAGCTCGGGTATGACAGATGATCGGTCTCTTGGCTATTTTAAATATGATTTACTATTGTGTATTCCTCTGAGTATGTGATGAAATCTTCCTCTCCCCCATCCATTTTTGCCTGCTGACCTTCATAAGTCAATAATGTACAAGGGTAGTTTTGAGGAAACAATATAAATTTAGGACAGATTAATCATTATAAACTAAATTAACTACTTTTCTTAATTCTGATAAACAAAGTAATTGAGGCTCATAAATAAGAATGCAGAGAGTAACTTTAAATCTGGTAATGCTTTTGTGACCAACTCGAGTCACTCATAAACTGCTTGAAGAACTTGCTCTCTCTCTCTCTCTCTCTCTCTCTCTCTCTCTCTCTCTCTCTCTTTCATATTTGTATAGACTTAGTAGAAAATTGAACAGCAGGTCCTATCATGGGACAAAGTAGGTTAAAATTGTTTTTTTCATATTCATTTTTTTTATCTTCGTTTCTGCTGAACCTCTGACGTTGAAAGACAGGCTTTTTCTTGCGGATGATGGGGTTTAAGTTCATAAAAAATATCTTAACCCGGCACTTTCTTTTTGAAATGGCCTGTCTTAACTTAATGTGCCCAAAAAAATCAAACTCATTAGATGTGGGCATAATTTTATGTTATTATAAATGAAGGAAATAATGAGAAGACTGAGAAACCGCCAGGCAAAGGCATAACTGAAGATCTCATGCATGATGTCCGCTATCCACTATCCACCTTTGAGGAAAATTTGTGCAATCTGCCTCCTTACCTGATCTTTTGACGCTGCAATTTGTTCTGCTTCATTCCGAGTAAATATTTACAATTTAACTCTTGCTTATTTAACTTCTTGTTTGGGTATTCTTGTTATAGATACTCCTCCAGCAGCCCCTCTTCGTGTAAGGTCTGCGCCAGATTTTGCTGAGCAACCTGTCCCTACTTCCCCAACATCAACAGACGGCTGGGGAGAACTGGAGAATGGACTCGACGAGGAGTGTGAAAATGACAAGGATGGGTGGGATGATCTGGAACCACTTGAAGAAATCAAACCAACTCCAGCTCTAGCAAACATTCAAGCAGCTCAAAGGCGGCCGGTTTCGCAACCTGTTTCGCAGACAAAGCTAGGTATTAATTATCCAACTATTAGCAGTTTGATGAGGATTCCTCGTTTACCTGTTTGCTAGTTACTATTTATCCATTCACTTGCATTGAAAAAATGCTTCTATGTCAATGTCAATGATTAATGACAATCCTCATAAAGGGATTGATGCGACTGTATGATTACTGGTTCAGGTCTGCAACTTTTGATTGAATTTAGCGTTCAGTCACCTTTTGACAAGGCATGAACTTTTGTCCTTTGTTGCATGATAGGATTATTAATTTGATAATTGCTACTGAAAAAAATTAAAGGTTTGTTTTGAAGATTATGCTGCCATTTTATTGATCTTTTCATCTGTGCTTTAAACTTGAAAGTTTGACGGTGTCACTACTCCCTTGATACAAAGGAACATTCCCGACCTAATTACTCAAATTCAGCTATTTACTTGGTGAATTTTATGTATTTGTAGTAATTGGAATTTTTGTGTGTAAATTAGCCACGAGTTTGCAATCCAAAAGTACATCAAAGTTGAGAAAGGATGAAGATGATGATTTGTGGGGTTCCATAGCAGCTCCTGCTCCAAAAACATCCAAATCTTTAAATTTGAAATCAACTGTAACTGATGATGATGATCCTTGGGCTGCCATCGCTGCTCCTGCTCCCACTACTAAGGCCAAGCCCTCGTCAACTGGCAGAGGGCGGAGTGCTAAACCTGCTGCTCCAAAGTTAGGTGCTCAGCGGCTAAACCGGACATCGTCCGGCACCTAAACAGAACTTCCTCTTGCCGGTGATCATCATGTTCAAATTCAGTATGCCATCCAGTACATTAATTATTTGTCATTTTAATTCAAGGGGTAAATCTCAGTCGCCGCAATGGTTAAATTATTCCACGTCAACTAGGCTATGGTATTTACTGCAATATTTTGAGGGCATGCTTCTTTTTTTGTTGGGGGGTGGTTGACGATCAATTAACGTAAACATTTTACATGCAATGTAATTACTTTCATAATATTATAGAAAGTTTTCGGTGTAATTATTTAGTTAAACCTGTTCTAATATTTCTGATTTATTTGGTTCTTGTATTGTGGATAATAAATGTCCGGTCATATTTATGACCAATTACAATCATTTGTAAAAGTAAGATTATTCATATCATTTCATTAAAATCGACATGTATAAAATAATCTGGATAAAATTTAATAAAACCATAACATTAATTTTTTTTAAATAAAATATTTAATTATATCTATACAAAAGAAATTCTCATTTCCTGTGTCTATTGGTTTTCAAATTTACGCTTTAAATAACTTTTTAAATTAAAATAGTTATTTTATTAATTTTTCCGATTCTAAATTTAATCATTTGATACAATTTTTTCGATTTAATCATTTTTAATTGTAAAATTACCCATAAAAATAAATAAAAGTATTTTTAATTAAATTATAAAAAATATTTATATTTAATTTCATAATTATAATAATAATAACTTTATTATTTTTTATTATTATATAAAAAACGTGAACACATACATGTGTTTTTCCTATTGATAACTTAAACTAATTAAATTCATTAATGATTTTTGTAATTTAATATATTATAATACGTGATTAATCTGGTTAAGTTAAATTAAGTAATAAGAGCTAAAAGAATTATAACCGACAAATAGATAAAATAATATTGTTATATTCACAGTGTTATATAAGAGGCAGAGATAATTGATACTCATAAAGTCAGAATGAGAAATTAGTTGAAATCGTGATAAAGGTAAAAAAAATCAAATAAAAGATGAAATGACTTAATTCAAAAGATAAAGAAGAAGAAAAATCTTGAAAAGATGTTTTACAAGGTTAAATTATTTCCCAGAATTTATTTGACAATTTTTAATTAAGTATTGAACTATATTTTTTATTGGGTTTTTTAATTTTTAATTCGGTTATTTGGTTTAAAGTTTATTTGAAAAATTATATGTTCTAGAGAGATTTGTGTAAAAACAGATTTGGATGGAACAAATGTGAGATTAAAAATTTGGTGAAAATGCAAATATGGAGAAGTGAAAAATATTGTATTAAAAAGGTAAGAACACTTACCTAATCACAATAATTAATAATTAATTAGGTTTACGTGATTAATTTATTGTTATTAAATAGAGTAATTCAATTAAAAACAAAAAAAGAATATTAGATGGACACTCCTCAATTTTCCTACACCTATTAAATGTTGATAACTTATTTTAAAAGTATATTTTCTAAATTATTTTATATTTTAAAATAAAAATATTATATTAATAGTATTGAATAGGTGTATACTACAAACTAAAATGTCTGTTTTTCATCAATTTTCATGAAATAAATGTGATATTTTTATAATGAAAAATATTCACAGGAAAATATAATGAAAAGACAATTTAAATACAATAGAAAAATTAGAAAACAATATTTTTACTGTTTTAAACTATAGTACTAATTAGTTGTACATTAGAAAAATTATCATGTTAAAAACAATATTTTATGTTTTCTCAGAAAACTATTTTTACTGTTTTAAACTATAGCAGGAGGAATGAAAAACTAAAAGATAAAAAAAAAAAGTGCTCGTAAAAGAAAAAGGAAGGCAGCAACTTCCATCCATTGAACTAATCTGAAGCTGAAGTGAAGAGTAGGATATTGTAATTGGGAACCCTAAACCCTAGAACCTTTGACTTTCCTCAATTCCTTCAACATGAGTATGACCCAATTCGCCATGGTATGTTTCTAAGTTTCTCTCTGTAAAGATATAATGGATGATACTCAATGAATTTCAATTTTGAACTGTCATGCGCTATCCTTTTTACGGTTATTATGTTGGTAAGGTCGTAGCAATTTGCATTGAAGTTAGAAATTTCTGAACCTTAGGATATGTTTTATGACAAAGGTTGTTCCTCTTTCTTTCCCAATGTTAATTGAGGGGTTTTTTAAGGACAATTTCTGCTTTGTTTGGTTTCAGTATAATATATGCATATCTGATGATTTTGCTTGGCCTTTGTGTTATTTGAACGGGCATGGCGCTAAGTAGCGTCTCTTAAGAAGGACTTACATTGCTGTGTTTAAAATTTTAATTGAGTCTTAGTACTGACTGATGCTTTTGTATATCAGGTTGAGGAGTTAGCTTTTCTTGTCAAGGACAATCTTGCTTGTAAACATCTAGTTCTCACAATGGAAGAAGTCTTGGTTAACTTTCTTCAGGATGATCACACTAGGTAACATTTATTCTATAATTTGAGTGGTGTTTAACTTGAGTATTAGTCCCAGGTATAGTTAAATTCATGTTTTACCTGTCTTAAGGATGGTTCAAAGACAAATTTGAAGACTCAGTGGATCCCTTCAAATTGTTTCAACGGAAGGGCCAGGGAATGATTCTAAACAATTTTATGTTTTTCTTCATGTTTCTCGTGTGTATGTACTTATGGCCCCTAAAAGAAGAAAGCAATGTGTGTTAGAAATGAGAGAATGCATTGTTGCAGTTAGTGTTATTAAAATTGGAGAAGCACTGTTGCATCACAGATTTCATGGAAAACGCAATCACAACACTGTTGTATTGTGGAGCTTGCTGAAAACATCATCAAGGTCGTGTTTATGGCTGCATGTTGTGTCATAGATATTGTGTTGTGGGTTGGTGTAATCTGTGGAGTTGGCCAGGTTTTCAGCTTTTTCTGAAAGCTGGAGTCCATGGAGGCAGAGTGGATCTGGTTCTGCAAGGGATGTTAAGAGCTCTATGTGCTTGAGTTTGAAGAAAATGAAATCAAAGGGGGCTGGGTTTGGTTTGCGTTAATCATAGGAGAAGGCTATCCTGATTCTTAAATTGACTCACAATACTTTAGTAATCTTACATGCAACGTATCACGGACCATTTAAAACGCTTCCATATTTCTTCACATGGCCTCTTCTTTATCCTATTTAGTGTTTATTCACTTGGCCATTTTGAGTCTTAGATTAAACCCAATATCCCCCCTCGAGGAATTTCTCTCTGAAGATTAGACAAGACTGTTTCAGTCTCTCTCAAGATTTATTTGCATGTAGCATAATACTTTATAATATGCCACTTTATATTTGTGTGTGTGTATTATATTTCAACCACTGCGCCTTTTGCTGTTTGTATGCAGTGCTATCTGCTATTTGATACAGTGCATTTCAAGTTTTCTTGCAATATTAATAGTCTTAAGGTCTTAATGTATGTTGATTAATATGTAAAGGGGATTTTGTAGAACAGCTTTAAAGCTTTGTCAGTCATTTATGGCATGTGACCATGGCTAGTTTTTGTGGCATTTAAACATATGCATGGTGTGCTAAATAGTTGTTTTACAATGAAGTTTTTCTTTCGCTGGTAGACTGGATTATCTAATATGCTTCTTAATATCTGTTTTTATTGACTATAGTTCAGATGGGATCTTGGAATTGGAGCCAATGAACTCTTACAACCGTCTTCTCTTGCATCGCCTTGCTGAGATATTTGGGTATTTTTCTCCTGAATTTTAGTTTAGTGGATTTCAAAATTCCTTTCTGGTTTCATTTTGAATCTGTGTCTATTTTTCTTTTCATTTGATAGCTTTATAATTGTTGCCAGGTTTGCACATGAATCTGTTGGTGAAGGAGATGACCGTCATTTGATTCTGGAGAGATGTCCAGATACGTCCATGTAAATGAACTTCCTTTTGTTTCTCTCTTGCTATTCTTATTTCAGGCAAAATTTGTATTACTTTATTTTATGGCTTCTTTTTGTGAAATAAACTCCGTTGGATGGATTCCAGACCTCCAATCCTTGTTAGTGATATCCTATGGAAGTATGATGACGAACCTCAATCTTTGGTTACTTCCCACCAGATATTAAGGAGAAGCGAAGCCTCTTCAGGTAATGAATGCTGCTGATTCTTACATCAGCAGCTACCGTAGCACATCATATACACTATTAACCTACCTGTAGAATCTACCATTATCAGTAAGTTGGATTTTTTCTATGATGTGGGTTCCTGTTCGGGTTAGGTAGCGTTAATCTGTGTGATGCATATTTCAGTCTCGCAGACAAACAAAACATCCTTTTCAAAGTCATTGGAGGAGAGGAAAGCAGCTTATTTAGTTGCTCGTGAGAGAATTTTCTCTATGAAGTTGGAAGAGGTAAAAGAGCCTGGTGAACAAAAGCCTCGGAGTGTGCCTGTGGTTGCCCGCAGAATGATTGCTCATGCACTGGGTCAAAGAATTCATACAAAGAATCAGAGTGGCTTGGCTAATGACAGTATAAATGATGGAGGCCTCAAAGATGAATTGAATGTTCAAGATAAGAACAGTGAAGTGTCCAATCTCACGAAAGATTCTGAAGAGATTTTATGCCTAAGAAGGAATCCAAACAACAGAATAAGAAACAGTAGCAGTTCTAATGCATCCTCACATAATAAAAGGAATGATCAAACACCAGTTCACGAAGAGTTGCCTCTGTTCCCTCAAGATACAACACAAGGGCAAACTGTAAATAAAGACTACATGAAAAAGGAGCACTTGGGAGCTGCAAAGAGAATGTTTGCACATGCTTTAGGAGTGCAATCTGGGAAGGATGGTTCAGTTCCTAGAAATAGAAGTGGAGAAATAAAGAAGAATTAAGCTGAGAAGGTTGTGGTATATTTAGAACAGAATGATATTCTGTTGCCCCAAATGGACCTCTTAGGTGCTCCCCCGGTTTCAAATTTCAATCACAGTCACGAAGATGAGTAATGAGCTTTCTTTACTCAGGAGATACATGCAAATGACTATCGTAGTATTATGTTGGTTGCTTAGCTCTTCTGTGACTGCTGCTGGAGTAACAACTTCCCTAGCAGCCAAGTCAAAGGGCATCATGAAAGCACTATCCAGAATCAAGTGTAACCTCTTTTGGTTATGTTCGAAGATGAATGAACAGGCTATGGTGTTTTGGCTCGTCAGCTATATGTTGTTAGACATGCAGTTCTAGTTTCATACTATGTTTAGTTTGTTCTGTCAATGTGATGGTTTTCATTATGGCTGTTCCCAGGGCCAGCAGGGTGCAATGCTTGATTTCACCTATCATGGAGGGTCTTTATTATGTATATATTAAAAATTAAAATCGTAAATTTAATCTGTCATGCTTAGAAATTCCAAATTTCTTCCTCGTTACCC